TTAAGACATTTTTAACTCAAATACATTGAGTCCATAATCCATAATAACGCTTCCTCCAGTGAAAAAAACAAAAAAAAAATGTATTTCTCATTGTTAATGTTAGTTAATGCAGTGTTTCTCAACTGGTGGGTCGCGGAGTGTACAGTCAAAGAAACAACATCAACAACAAAAAAACGTAATTCTAAATGATTTTCTGATGCAAGACTTTTATTTTGAAAGACATGCGTGAAAGCTGTTGACACTTCTATCAGATGCAGTTTAATAAGTCAAGAGTTCCTGAGAAAAACGCACTGTCCTGATTCAGTATCTGCGGTCAGATGAGATGTTGTCAGGCTTAATGTCAGTCTCATTATTCTATCGTTATTTTCGTAACTTGTTATGAAATAGAAAGTCTCTCACTTCAGAAAAATGAACTATCCTGACCTGTCAGATGTTATACTGTGCTCGTAGCCAGAGCATGTGAGCGAAGCGGAGCGATGTGACGCTCCGCTAGGTTTTCCGCTCTATGGACGTGCGCTCCACTCAGTCGCTCTAACCGCCCAAGCAAGCGCTCCGTTAATATTCCGCTCACGCTCGCCGTAAACCAATTCCCGCTCAGATCCCGCCAAACGGCATTCTGGGTTGAGCGAGTGGCGCTGAGCGTATTGAGCGAGCGGAGCGGAATCTTCAGAAGGGCGCTCTGCGCTCTTAAGGAAATATTACCACTCCTCCCCGCTCCGCTCACGCTCCGCTCCGCTCACATGCTCTGCTCGTAGCGCACAGTTGCATGCGCAAATGCGGCGGCGCGCTGTATATCACTTCACTAAAGCGCAAAAGAAACTATGAGCATGCAACGTGTGAAATAAAAGTAAAGTACCAATAAATCAGATAACTGGCACTTTGTGTGTTTGCTGGGAAGAATTTGCATGAAGGTTTAATATTCATTCTATTCAGGAGCAGTTTCCATGTTTCATTAACAGTTCCATGTTAGTATGGTGTATTCGGTAACTGTTGTTTCCATAACCATGTTCTTTTCACTTTGTGTATTTTGTATATGTTTAAATGACTGTTCAGTTCAGAACCACTGATTTATACCATGAATGAGATGAATAATTAATCACATAACTGGCACTTTGTGTGTTTGCTGGGAAGAATTTGCATGAAGGTTTAATATTCATTCTATTCAGGAGCAGTTTCCATGTTTCATTAACAGTTCCATGTTAGTATGGTGTATTCGGTAACTGTTGTTTCCATAACCATGTTCTTTTCACTTTGTGTATTTTGTATATGTTTAAATGACTGTTCAGTTCAGAACCACTGATTTATACCATGAATGAGATGAATAATTATGCAAGTTACTAAACACTTCTGATCTATAACTGACAAAAATATTTAAAAACTGGAAGACTTTGTCTATGTCATTGCTGTTTTTATGTTTATTCATTTTTGTTCGTGTGATGCAAGGATTCCCAAACTTTTTTGTCAGTCAAACCCCTCTGACCTAAAATATTTACTTCAAGTCCCCTGAGATTTAAAGCTAATATTTCAATCATTTAACAACACATTTGCATGTTCACAGTTCTCTGATGTCAGTTAATGGTTACATTGGCATACAGGTAAGCAAATAAAATATTTCAAATATTAGGTCATAAGTCATCAAAAAGTAATCCAAAAGTAGTCAGAATTCATTACTTAAAATGAGAAATCTAAATTACATTACTGACTACAATCAACGTTCACATGTAATTTGTAAAGGAAATTTGTAAGTAGTCTACCAAATATTTTACAAATTATGTTTTCGATTATATAATATTACAATATTTTTTTAATATAATTATAAAATAAATAGATTTTTTTTTTTTTTTACAAGAAACCATATAGCTGCCTCTTAAAGTTTAGGATGGGGCTCCCTCACATGAGGATGATCATATTTGAGGGCCCGTGGCATCTAAAAGATTTAAAGAAAATCCCCGCTGTCTGAGATAGGGCCCTCTGCTATTTTAAGGCATCATAAGGCTATATTAAAAGTACGTCTAAGATAATTTCTTTTGGACAAATTCTAAGACAGTCTCATGTATTGTTCTTGGAAAAGGCAATCACAAAAAAAGTCAACAAAACCATACAGTTTCAGCAAAACGAATTCAGCCTAATAAAATAATAACTATGTTAACTGATATTTGTGTGTGCTATCTAGTTTAATGCTTGTTAGAATATAGCATGGTTAGGTTAGCAACAAGCTAAGAGCAAGCTCTCGGTCAGAGTCGAGTCTACTTTCCTTGTTAATGAAAGCAAATAATGAAGTAATGCTCAGTTTTAACAGTCAAAAAAGCAGACTGCTTGTTCTATAACTGTAGGTTTCAAAGAAAGTTGACCTGATACACAAATCACAAAGCTACTTACCTGGACAAGTGCAATTCCAGTCATCAGAATGACTAGTGAGAGCCACTGGTAAATGGTGAGACTTTTGCCCAACATGGACACGGAGAACAGGGCTGTAGTAAGAATTTTCAGCTGATACGTAACCTGGAAAACCAATAGGATGGTAAATGAGATAGGTAGAAACAAGTGTTTTTTTTTTTATTATTATTAAGAATGATTTCTGAAGGATCATGTGACACTGAAGACTGGAGTAATGATGCTGAAAATTCAGCTTTGCACCACAGGAATAAATTATATTTTTAAATTGTGATAATATTTCACAATATTACTGTTTTTACTGTATTTTTTATCAAATAAATGCAGCCTTGGTGAGACTTCTTTCAAAAATCTTACCAACTGCAAAGCGGGCAAGACAGAATTATGAGTTCACTCCATTCTAATCGGGGGATAATTGGTAATTTATTTAAAGTAAATAAATAATTACAGTATTTAAAGAGATTTAGAGGGATAGAAGAAAAATAAAGAAACTATAGTTATTGAAAAGTAATGCATTTGAAGTATTTGCAAATAATGTTTTATTTTAAAATACGCACACATTCACTATCACTATATGTCTAATATGCTGACAACGGCTTTGTGAATTACATGAATGAAAAAAATATGGAAAACCTTGGTAGCATCTTGACTGACGCCATCCTCTAATATACTGCTTATTCTGATTTTGACATACCCAATTTGTAAGGTAATTTTTCATACGTTTCAGCTCTTCTTCTCTTCTTTTTAGGGATGAGCATTTTGCAAAAATATTGTATTCGAATATTTGGGCTTATAAAAAGCAGAGACGTTGAGAAATAGAGTTGCGACACTCCAATAGACCAGAGCTCGTCTTGCACTAGCTCGACTTCACGCATTACGTAGTCATGTTGGAAAGGTCACCGACCCAGTGTTTACAAAACGAACGTGCAAAGAAAGTCAAATGCCCTTTACAAAAAAAAGGTAAAACAACGATGTCGGCGATTTTGAAGTTGGAGGAATTTTTCGCCCTACCCTACCTTTTTGAACCGGAGTATACAGACGAAGAGCTTAATGCGTGAATACGTAATGTGTGAATTTGCGAACGCAAATCGCGGAGCTAGTGCAAGACGTGCATTTGCGGTTAAAAAGTATACCTTTTTTTTTTTTTTTTTAAGAAAATGACTGATCGTTTCGTGTTGAGCCCTTTGAAGCTGCAATGAAACTGCAGTTCGGACCTTCAGCCCATTGGTCCCCATTGAAGTCCATTATATGGAGAAAAATCCTGGAATGTTTTCCTCAAAAGCCTTAATTTTTTTGCGACTTAAGATAGAAATACATGAACAACTTGAATGACATAGGGGTGAGTGAATTATCAGGAAATTTTTATTCTGGAAGTGAACTAATCCTTTAAAGTCACAATAGTAATTTTCGCCGTTAGAGGGCGCCTATTCAAAATAAACAAAGAGACAAAGGCGTAGTTTGATGACGCCGTGACTGAGTGTGGAATCATGGGAGTTGTGGTCTTCATCCCCACAGCCTTTTTGGATATTTTAATAAAAAAATCGTACATATTGTGCCTTTAAGGCAAGTCATTTCACTCAGCGGCCATTAGGGCTGTAAAAAAAAAAAGTGAATTTCGAATATTCGTCGAATTTTTAAAAAAAATCCACATTCTAATGCAAAAACGTTGCATTCGAATTTAAGGTCTGCGTCAGCTGCATAGTCAGCAGTCAGGCAGCCTTATCAGTGGCGCACGAGATGCGATGACGATGATTGCATTTGAATGCTTTTGTTAGCCTGTCCAGTTGAACCCACTAGATGCGGCGCTGCTATGTTGTTTTATTTTATAGAGAAGCTCTCTTCTCGGATCACTCGGGCTACAGCTGCGCTTTCCTGCAGTCGTGAATGCAGTGATGGACAGCTGTCTTTCCTCAGTCCACTGGTGTTTGAATATCATGTGGTAAATTGTGGTGAATTATGATAACTCAGTTTCACTGATTCATTTGATCAAAAGTAATTCCGTTTTGCAAGGTGATTTAGTAAGATAATTTTGATCAAAGTAATTCCAAACTCCGCGAGGCAGACGATGAAATTCTGTGATCAAATACAATCAACTTGTTAACACGCTCCACAGCGCCACCCAGTGCATTTAGTTATAACTGACTTTTAGTTTGTGTGCTTAGGATTTATGATGTATTCCCTGCATTTACGGCCCGCAAAGCAACACATAGTAAAATTCGAATAGTGTTTTAATTTGTCAAATAATAATTACAGATTGAATACTCGACTATTTGTGCACACTTTTATGTGTTTTTACTTTGGGGCACCAGACCAGTTAATATCATAGGAGAGCATGTTTACTATAACTATTATTTTCTATAAATTTACAGATTTTTATTTTATTTTACAACACTAGTAATGGTTAAAATGTATGGAAGCCCATTTCCGCCACTGAATAAAAAATAAAAAAGGTAATTGCGACTTTTTATCTCACAATTATG